TGCTGGGCTTAGGCGATCCTTCTGCCTCAGCCTTCCAAGTAGCTGGAACTACAGGTGCGCACTGCCACGCCCAGCTAATTTTTTTTTGTTTATTGTAGAGATGAGGTCTCACCAAGTTGCCCAGGCGGGTCTCGAAGCCGCGGGCTCAGGCCATTCACTCACCTCAGCCTCCCAAGGCGCGGGATTGCAGGCTGAGCCACTGAGCCCGGCCACCTAGTCTATATTTTGCCACTGGGGAATAATTTCTATTTTGTTATTAGATCAGGATGCTATCTTATGTATGGCCTGTTATGGCATATAATTATATATTTCTGTCATTTGATTAATTCCACTTTCCAAAAAAAGTGAGTTTTTAGTCTTCCTCTGCAGACAAGTTTCTGATTACAAAAGTTTTTTTTTTGTTTTCATTGGTTTTCCTAAAAACAAAGAGCTTCAGTAGGTAGGGAGGTCAGAGAATCTAAGAAACGGTGGTGTATGTATAAACATGCTGGCTAGGCTTGGTGGCTCACACCTGTAAACCAAGAACTTTAGGAGGCAGAGGTAAGAGGATTACCTGAACCCAGAGGTTTGAGACCAGCCTGTGCAATTTGGCGAGACCTCTCATCTCTACAATAAAGAAAAAAAAAAAAAAAAATTAGCCGGGTGTGGTAGTGCACGCCTATGGTTCCAGCTACTTGGATAGCTGAGGCAGGATTGCCTGAGCCTACCAGATCGACACTGGGATGGCACAAGCATGCCACTGCACTCCAGTTTTTTGAGTTGGGATGAGACTCTAACTCAAAAAATAAAAATATAGGCTAAAACTCAAATTAAAATAGAGTTTGACTGGGCGTGGTGGCTCATGTCCGTGATACCAGCACTTTGGGAGACCAAGGTGGGAAGATTGTTTGAGGCCAGAGTTTAAGACCAGCTTGGAGCCAGGCTTGGTGGCTCAGCCTGTAATCCCGCGCCTTTGGGAGGCTGAGGTGAGTGGATTGCCTGAGCCCGCGGGTTCAAGACCCGCCTGGGCAGCGAGACCTCATCTCTACAATAAATCAAAAAAATTAGCTGGGTGTGGTGGCACACAACTGTAGTTCCAACTACTTGGAAGGCTGAAGCAGAAGGATCACCTGAGCCCAGCAGGCCAAGGCTGCAGTAGCCATGAACGTGCCACTGCACTTTTGCCTGGGCGACAGAGTGAGACTCCAACTCAAAAAAAAAAAAAAAAAGACCAGCTTGGGCAACATACCAGGACCCTGTCTCTACAAAGAATACAAGTTAAAAAATTCAGTCGGGTGTGGTGGCACACAACTGTAGTCCGAATTACTTGGAAGGCTGAGCTGGGAGGATCACTTAAGCCCAGGAGTTCAAAACTGCAGTGAACTATATAATTACACCACTGCGCTCCAGCCTGGGTGACAGAGAAAGAAGGCACCATCTCCAAAATAAATGAGTGGATTCCTCACTGTCCAGCCAGTTGGTGCTAGGCAGAAATTTAGGCCTTAGTGGTGTTAATTATTGACATCTAATTCACTGTGCTAGTAATCTCTGTACTAGAGAGACAAGAATGGGGTTCCATCCTTAGTGTTTTTCAACTCTGCTATTCTATGTAAGTCTCTTGCTTAAAAACACTATGGCATGACCAGGCTTGGTGGCTCAGCCTGTAATCCCAGCGCTTTGGGAGGCCAAGGTAAGTGGATTGCCTGAGCCCATTGGTTCAAGACCAGCCTGGGCAACTTGGCGAGACCTTGTCTCTACAATAAATAAAAAATTGGCCAGGCTTGGTAACATACACCTGTAGTTCCAGCTATGTGGAAGGATCACCAGAGCCCAGCAGGTCCACACTGGGTGGCTGTGAGTTTGTCAGTGCTCTCCAGCCTGGGCAACAGAGTGAGACTCCAATTAAAAAAAAAACAAAAAACAAAACTACAAAAACACTATAACTCCAGAGACCTAGAGATCCATCATTAACTCTGTAGCCTGACATTCATGGCCTTCCAGAATCTGACCCCAGCCTCTCATCACCCCTCTGCATTAGCAAATCTCTCTTCTCTATTCCTCACCCACATGTTTTATTTTGCCAACTTCTATAACTTTTTTTCTTTGAGTTGGAGTCTCCCTCTGTCACCTGGGCTGGAGTGCAGTGACATGATTATGGCTTATTGCAGCCTGGACCTCCTGGACTGAGTGATCCTCTCTCCTTAGTCTCCTGAGTAGCTGGTGTTAGGGTCATGCTCCCAGCAGGGCCTCTAGAATGTTAGGTCAGGCCTGCTGGGGGTGTGGTTGTCTATGCAATCTGGTGCCGCGTGAATGATGCAAAGAATTGCACAGAAGCTAGATTGGAAAATATAATTTATTTTAAAAAGTAAATTAGATGAGATTCACCTCCCCAAGGTAGGGAAGGGGGCCAAAGCCAGGAAGCATGGAGACAGCTATAGCTCAAAGAGCACATGGCCACACCAGAGTTTAGTAAGGCAGTGATGACTAGCTGCTCGAGGTTGAATGCTTTTTTTATTTGTTATTTTTTTGAGTTGGAGTCTCACTCTGTTGCCTGGACTGGAGTGCAGTGGCATGCTCACGGCCACCACAGCCTCAGCCTGCTGGGCTCAGGTGACCCTTCAGCCTCATCCTTCC